AAAAAATCGAGAGAACGAGAAGATCCAACGCATAAAATGGCGTGAACACAATACAGTAATATCACATATCATTGAAAAACAGTGTGCATAACTTTATTGTAAGCCGACCGTTATTGCGTCAGCACGACACCACGATACGGACCTTGCATCTTCAGGTACTGAAAGTTTATCGATCAGACAAGTCTTTAAGTAAGAAAGTGAGCTCACTATTGAATTCAATAAAGTATCCTATTTTCAAACCCCTTACGGCTATACCACGAGAAGCGATACGTTTCATATAGGATTCTTGTAGGTGAAAGTGGAGATTTCAACTGATAGCGATTAAATTCTATTTGCGGTGGCGTGATCGTACAAATAGTCCAACCATGTATTTACGTTTGTGGGTGCGTGTGTATGTGTTTGTGAGTATGCATCAAGATGACGGTTGTCTAAGCGGGTGTGGGTACATTCACCCAAATCTGGCGAAATACGCGACAGTTCCGACGGCTCTACACCTATCATTAGGGCACAAACTTTGAGTGGAGTAGATTAGTAGGGTCACCTGATACAACTAATCTACGCTACGTCAAGTTCGTGCCCCAATGATAGGCGCCAGAGTCGTTTAAATCACCACGAATTTCGCCACGCGGTTTGCCGCGCCCAAACATTGGGTGAATGTTTCCTCCGCCGTCTAAGCAAGCTGCTCGACGGTAAAAATATTGCGGCTTAAAAACATGGAAAAAGAGTGAAAGCATGGCTTCGGGTATGTAATTGCTCGGAGGTGGTGTAGTGGCAAGTGTCTCACTATCTCACACGCACAGTCATGGGATGGAATCCCGAATCCATATTCGACCAAGCTAAGCAGGTCTTCCATTTCTTGGGATCGGTTAACTGGTGCCAGACTCGTCAGGGAGTATAAAAGCACTGGGTTGTATATCGCCACCGCAAGTCATTGCACCAGCCCTATACGCATTCAATACGCCACTTCATTCTGAATTAAGCCGAATGAGNAGAGATTTTGGTCCAACTAATTAGTTATTGTAGGTAAAGTATAGGAAATCTTCGGGAACACCAGGGCGAAACATAACCGACCCATCTTCCACAGTCCTATAGTCCTCTAGAGGTCTCGCAACCAAGTTCAACAAACAAGCTAACCAAAAGGATCGGTGCGAAGCTCTAGGAGTTTCTGATGAATTTTGAATGTAAGTATAAAGTAGAAAAACACAAAAAGGAAGGGGACTCTGTCAGAGTCAAACTATAATTGAACGATGTATACTTGGCAATTGGTGAAAACCACAGCACTCAGTAACTTTTTTAACAAAAAGTAGTATAAGGTTCAGACCAAAGAGACCGATTTTACCCCCACTCAAAGCGAAAATCAAGTGGTTCGCTCTTTACATCGTCTACTTTTGTTCATGATATATAGCTTTGATATCTGTGAGAATCGAAATTTCAAAAAAGTCGTCAGACTTGGACCGACGTCTCAAGTCCTCAACGAGTTTCTCTCGAAAATTTATTGTATAAACCATTCCAAAATCCAAAAATAAACTAAGTGCGGAAGCTAAGTGTTTTGCCCCTTTTCATTGNGATATAGAAGTCGAACTTTTTCCAGCAAGAGCCAGTCTACTGAGTTATACATAGCTAATTCTCTGCCACTGCCTCCACAACAAACTAAAGAACATAGAACAAAGTCTGTTGGCGTCGATCAATCTCGTTTTGGGATGCGCCCACGCAATCGACTTCCATTCGTGGTGTATGATTGAACAGTGCGGTGCGGGGCCACTACAGTATAGGAGTCAGCGATCTTACTCTCCTAAACAACATGTAGTTCAGGAAAGTAAGATCACTGACTACATGTGTACGACCCTGTACAACTTTCTTGTTAATATAAGTGGACATGCATGAACTTTTCACGCTTGATCGAGCGTCCCATGTTGAGGTGCAAAAGGACTGCTAAGCTGTGGAAAAGAGAAGAAAAGAATTCTTTACTGTATCTCCGGCCAATGAAAAAAAAACCTAATCATAGAAAAAAATTGTATTGAGAGATTGAGATTACAAACAGAAAAATAAATTGTATTTGTAATATACATTTCCTCAGGGTTCCCCCCAAACATTTGCAAATACCTGAATAGAGCCGAATAAAGACCTTACCGCGTCTCATACCTTCTCCAGCCCGCTCCTACGTTTTCTTGGAACTTTTTGCTCAGTCTTTTCCTATTCGGTCCTTATGATGTTGCTTTCAAACAAAATGCGAAAGAGCAATGCGTAATATCTATAGACAAGGTTCGTTCCCTTTTCCTTTACCAAGCGATGCGTTTCGGATGGATGCATAACCGTTTGGGAACCACTGCGCTCACAAATAAGTGATAAAAAAGGATCAAGTCTTCGGCGTTTATCAATCTCGTCTTTGGGATGCGCCACGCATTCGACTTCCATTCTGACTTGTAGTGGCGTATTGAACGAAACAGTTGGGCTCCGCTTTCTAACGCATGCGTCACAACAAAGAACGGTTTTCCAAAGTGTCAAGTGGAGATGAATTTTTTGATATGAGCTTCACTCGTCGAGAATTTGGCTGCAGGTTGTGGTGGGTTATGAGATTATGCAAGAAATTCAGACGGGAACGCTTGGCTCACCATGGATGAGTCTCCTTTGATTTGTTGAATTATTCCTATCTTTGCCGACTGTTCCAGATGTCTCAACGTTTTTTGAGCAAAATTAGGACCCATTCCCAAAAGTTAGCCACATTTCTTCTATTTCCTCTAACCTTTTCTCCCGTTCTAGAACGTTTTTGAACAGTTAATGAGTTTTTAATCTTAGCCCCAATCACCTAAGTAATCCCCGTCCACGTCAAGCTTTAATCGCACTCCCCTTATCATCTGAAACTTCTTTTTCTTCCGCATTGTAGGACGTTTTTGAATTAAGCTATGAGATTATGATATTGGCTCCGCCCAGGTTAGCGCAAACACCGTCCACTTCAAGGATTTGACTACAGTTCTTCTATTATCTCTGTCAACTTTTTTATCATTCTAGATCGTTTTTGAACGAATATTTGTTTTTTAAGTAGTAGCTCTCAATCGAACCACGCCTCGCTGGTTGTGTGCCGAACTTCGCTGGGTTTACGCAAGTCCCGCAAGCATAAAACATTACTCATTCCTTTCATTTTTTTCTGCCCTCCACTCGTTTGTTGAATCGAATTATGAACTTGTGTTGAAAGTTGTCCTCTGCAGGAGCGCAACGCCCATCGCTAGTGAGCCCTCTTCATTCTACTTGTTGACCCATCCCTCACCCTTGCACATTCTCCCGGCGTCTGGGCTGTTATGAAACTTATTTAAGAAGTTTCGCCCATAACCCCGCCCACTCTCGTGTTCAACCCCCTGAGGGCGCAGCTCCACTGTGTTCACATGTGCTCTCTTAGTCTTGCCTCATGTCTAACCCATCCCAAACTTAACCCAACTTGTGCAGACAGACGCAAGCGCATTACATATAGCATGGATAAACCGATACAATGACTTGCATTGGACAGCCGATGTAGAGGTTAACGCGTTTACCTTCTAGAACGAGTCTGGTACCAACTAATCGTCCCCTTAGGTATGGAAGATTTGGTTGGCATGAGCAGAATCCTACGCGAGATCTCATCCCCGGATCATGCGCGTGTGATAGTGCGCTAAGTATACGCCACTACACCACATCTGCCCGCGCTTAAAATTATCCTCACAAATGACAAGATGCGATCTACATAAACAGCAAAACGCGATCCTCAGCTTAAATTTCAACGACTGTTGCAGCGTTTGACGGAACCGCGAATGGTTCCACAGAAAATGACTTATGAATGCAGATAGTGAGACCCGCCTTCAGTCACTTTCTGTGCCACATTTCGTCAATCAATGACGCCGCTTATCAATGGAAAAGTTTAGTTCAACAAACGTGCTGTCAAACGCAGCCCTATCCAATGAAATTATCTTATCCAGTTCAACAGCAGTTCCAGCCCTAACTATGACTATTCTACGTTGGAAGGTTTTGAAGATGAAAGCAATCAAAAAAGCGGGGCTTTGGAGGATATGAGCATTTTTTATATTAACCTTCAATATCTTCAACATATCCAAAAAAATTCAGCAAAACAGAAGACGCTATTTTTGGAATCGTCATCATGCAAGAATGTTCTCAATATTCATGGATATGAGTTTTCCAGTACCAACAAGCGTTTGGAATAAAAGTAGAGGAAGGAAAGGCGAAAGCTTTTTCCTACTAAATATGAGACAGAGGAGGTGCAGTGGCAAGTGGCACGCCTCACCTCTGTAACAATATGACACTATGTGTGCGTCGTAGTGCAGTGGCACTATGACACATGCATGGTCCGGAGATCGAATTTCGAATCGATTTTGCCTGGACAAATCAAACCTCCCATCCCTTCGGAGTCGATAAGTTGGTACCCCACTCATCTGGCACAGTAAAAGCCATTCAAAGCGTCACGTAGATTTGAGTTAAAGTCGATTGCGAAGGCGCGTCTCGGCCGGGGGGGTAATTAACGTCAAAGGAATTCACTCTCTTAATCTTCAAAGTGAAATGCTCAATGAGCTTCAAAAATCAGATTCCCAAACTTTCAGTAACTGCTAATAAGGCAGCGAAATTAAAAGTTTCACTCGTTGAAGTATATCAATGCGATTGAATGCAAAAGATCAAGACCCAGCGAGCTTATGCCGGCGAAGCTAGACTGCAAAAAAAAAAGATTGGAAATACTGGGGGACATTCTAGGCTGCTTGGAAACAACTTCCCAAGTCCTCCAAAAAAATGTGAAGAGAAGAAAGTAAAATGATAAACCTGATAAAAGGAATCTAATAGTATTAATTATTTCGAACTCAAAGGATCTCTAGGCAGTTAATAGAGGGGTCATTTCGAAAACACTATGGCTCCATCAAAATGAGTGAGAGGGTTACAAGTAAGAATAATTTATGAAAAACTTTAATCATATTTTCCATTCTATCATCCCATCTGCATTAAACCTTCATTGCAGAAACAACTAGTCAGAACCACGTTACCTGTATAACAAGACTGGGTCCTCCTGCAGTGATTTCCGGAGGAATTTGACTGAGCGGACAGTTCTCGATAGACATTATTTCCAACGATGAACAAAGAGCAAGTTCAAACGGCAAATTATGCAATGAATGATTGTCATTGAGATATAAGGACTTCAAGCAGTCCAGATGTCCTGAAAGCATCAGATACAGAGAAATACAAAAGAAACGGAAATGAAAACCGAACCTATTTCCTCTGGTATCGAAGATAATGAGTTTTCACCGACTCGTAAATCTTGGAGGCTAGCCAAATTGCCTATGGTGCGAGGTAAGCTGACGAGTTTGTTAGACTGCACCCATAGTTTAGTAAGTTGGAGAAGGAATCCTGAATATTACGTCACCATCTCATACGGAACTAATTAATTTTATTTTAGTACCGAATACAGAAGCATCTTTTTGTAACAGAACTTTGAAAAACTAAATTTCAAAATCCAACCTATTTCACTTGGAATAGTTTCCAAATCGTTCTCTTCCAGATCCAGTTCACGCAGCTTTTTGAGGTTCCCTATTTGTGCGGGCATCTTTTTGAGCTGATTGTTTGACAAGACGAGAATCTCCAGGTTGACCTTAAATGCTGCTCATTAGAGGAAGAAGCGACTGAGCTCCTAAATTTTCGAACTCAAACATACCAATTTTTCTATGTCCTCGGGTAACACTTTAAGCTGATTTGTCGAAAGGTTCAATTCCGTAATGGAAGTCCAACTTCCCATATCTGAACTATGAACATGGGGAAGGCAAAAAAAAACTATTACGTGACCGTTGAAAAAACATACCCAGAGGTAGCGACTGCAATTCGTTTTCTTTCAAATTCAGCTTTGTGAGTCCGGTAGCGCGTGAGAAAATACCGATTGGAATCTTACTGATGCGATTGTGCTCCATATTAATTGTCTGAAAAATGAAACGCATATTGATTCGTTGTTGTTCACCAAAGATGTTTACCAAAACAAAAGTTAAGAATGTGAGATATTGTTGAAAATAGTTTTTGGGGAGCAGTAAGTCACATATAGCATATACATAGCTTATCAAGTTGTAAGAATAGGAAGGGGAAAGTTCGAATGGAATACTTACGACAGCCGAGGCAAACTGCTGTGGTCCACCTTGAGGGAAACCTGAAAGTTCGTTGCGCGACAAATTCACCGTTCGCAACTTCGGGAGACAAGTTAACATGGCGTCCTGAAATTGAGTTTGCATTGATAGCTTTCTTTATAAACAAAATCATTCTAGAAATATTGAGGACCGGATAAAAAAGTGCAAAATATCATAAGAACCAGTTTCATCCATGTCAACGTCTATCATACGGTATCAGAAAATTATAGAACAAAAAAAGTAGCACCGATAGTCAAAGGTTCAGTTTAAGGCAAGAACAAACTAACAGGTAATTGCTGCAGATGATTCCCTTCAATGATAAACTCTTCTAGTTGATTACAATTCTCGAGAGAAGCAGGCAACGTCCGAAGCTTATTATACCTAAATACATCAGCATACTTCATCAACATATTACAAGTCATTTAAATATTTCAGTGGACCCTTATATCACAACTTCGAAGTTTTCGTTGTCCATGAATAGTCACGTAAATACTCGCAATCATTTCGAATCGTTACGCCCCTTCCTAATCATTTCTCTTTTTTCCTGAGCAAAGTAACCAAGACTGATAATAATAATATCGAAATAGTAACAACATTGCTCATGAAAAGAATACCTTATGCCCAGTCGAACAAGATTTGTCAGTTTGCCCATTGTTTCCGGCAATTCAGCTAGATCATTGTGTTGCAAATCAAGTTGGGTTAGGCTGATGCAGAGCCCAAGTTCTGAAATAAAGCAGTCATTCCTATTTCAAGCTTTTGATAATAAGGTATATTGCAATCGGAGAAGCCAGTCTGTGAAGTGGAATGACAAAAACTGGATATTAATAGATGAGTATTTGGATTTTTTTCGCTCATTAAAATATGATCCATGAGCCGGTCGCACTACGGCACGAGAGGTTTCAGCATGATGCAGCCATACTTAGAGTAGGCATCAATTTTCATAAGATTATCTCTCGCACTTTTAAATGGAAGAGAATCCATCTTCAAAGATGCTGCAACTTTACGTACATCCGTAAATCACACGCGATCGGTAGAAAAACTTCACAATTAGAGCCACTGCTTTATATAACAGCAATCTAAAATTCCGCAAGGGTAGCTTTCAGTCTCTCCGACAGAGCTCAATACCTTAGCACTGTTAACTGAACCTCAAGGGACCACTTCATTGCCCGGTGCAATTCCCCAAGGGAAAAGTTCTCCTCCTTTTTTCTTTGCTTACATTCCTCTTCACTTTTTTGCGACCCTTTGGTTCCATGCAATGAAAATGATGCCCAGCGGACTTTTCTCTGGTTCCAAGAAAAAAAATTAACAAGCTTTTCTTCCCCGGAGCATTTCCACATTCATGTTTACGATTTACGATGTGACAACAATGATCAAAGAAATTCTTAAAGCTAGTATTCTCTAAATACTAAACGACTGGACCCGGCAAATTGCACACTACACTTAGAATTTTTCCTTCAAAGCCTCCAGTTAGGCTACTACTGAATGGATGATATGAAAGCAAGATAAATAAAAAATAAGCTCACCATCAGGAACCTTCGATAAGTGATTGTAGCTGAGAAGGCAGACAACCAAAGACTGGATTTTGCCTATTGATGCCGGTAAACTGTGTATTTTATTCTCACGCAAGTCTATCATTTTGAGTCTGGAAAGAACAACGAATACCTCAAGTTCTTCAATAAACAGAGGAGACACGAAAACAAACTTGGACAGATTTCCAATATCTTCTTCGATGGACATGATCCTATTGTACCGCAACCAGAGCGTTTCGAGTGAGGTAATCCGATAAATGACGGACGGTATCTGAGCAGTGTTATGGAAGACAACAGCCAATCACATAAATATGTTTGGTGCTTACCTCTGTGAGCTTATTATGCCGTAAATCTAAGGTTTCTAATTGCGTAAGAGAAGCAAGTGAATCAGGTAAGGAACAAAGGGCATTTTCACTCAAGCCCAACTTCCGCAGAGAAACCTGAAGTGCAAGAAATGGAATAGCGTACCGTTAGAACGTGACTATCATAAATATTAGGCAGCCTTCACATAGAGCCATGAGCAAATAACAATCGTTGTTGCGCTGCGTTTGCCACTCTTTGTGCTTTGGCCATACCCTTTACGTGACGCGGGAGATACACGCGCGGTAATCGATATCGCGCATTGCGTCACCATGTAGGGATTGACTACGCTCAAAGTACCCGTCAGTCCGGCCAAGTTTTTTTGATTATCGATTGATGGCTGCTCAATCTGTGATCTTCTATCGGTTGGATATGACTTGCAGAGCTCTACAACAGTCTCGACTAGCGTGCCATAGGAAACGGCAGAGAACTGGCCAACTGGCAGCTTCAATTCACATCGCTCTCAAGTCTTCCAGATAAACAATGATCGATCACACACAAAACAATGAATGTGCTATTGGCAGTCAGTCGATAAACTAAAGAGCAAAGCCGCACAGCAAGAGCCTTTGGCACGTGTAACCCTGACGCGATGCAACAAATTTGACCTATCGATCCCTATAACGGCGAACGCCGATCGATATTCGCTCATAGTGAAGTATGAAGGCTACTTAATGAATTAACGGCGCACCAGATTTCCTAGTTCCGGCGGTAATTGAGTAAGTTTGTTTTTGTACAAAAACAGCTCAGTCAACTGGGTAAGATCCCTGATCGAGGACGGTATAGACGTAATCTGAAACACAAAACAAGTATACACCCTATGGTACGGCTCTGATATCGACTAAATCCTCAAAGACAGGAGATACTGAATTTGGACGGTACTTACATCATTGGAACTGAGATCGAGCCGAAGATCATTGTTGTCGCGACATCTCTGGAATTCACGATGGAGATCCTGAAAGTGATTTTCTTGGTCAGGCACAGAAATCCGAACTTGGGAGGGTAGAATTCCATAAAAGCACTTAATAACTATGTTTTCGGTACATTATCCACCCAGAAAGTAAAAAGACTTACCCAAAACCCAGCTAGTTCCCTACCTAAGATCTCACTATCAAAAGCAAGAGAAAAAATTGGGATCACAGACACAGCACATGGGTATGGCTCCAATTTTTCAGTTCGAGTTATTGTTGAAATTCAGTTAAAGTCAACTTAATAAGAAAATTTCTCATGGTTAAAGGATCCTACCTTCTTAGGTTTTTCATTGAATGTCGTAGAATTGGAGGTCTTCTCGTTCAGTGAATGGCGTGTCTTGGACCGGGCAAAATTGCTCAGACGACCGATGACACCAGGGCTCTTGGAGCGAGCGCCTTCTTTGGTGGGTCGGAATTCGAAATCCTTCGTCTCCATTCGTGCCTTTAGGCAAAGAGCCAGCGCGTCTGGGAGTCGCGCTGTACCCACACACTTGCCACTAACAAAAGCCAGGGTCAGCACTGATTCAGACGACGATCAAGGCATTCAACGCAATCGATTGATCAGAGTGTTGTGACGACGAGCTCTGCCGGCAAACCTAGACCAACCACTGATCAATGGGGATCGATAGTGACGGATTGATGGGCGAAAGCGTTGAGAAAATGCGATGAAATAGGCAAATGCGGAGACGATAAATGCGCAGCAGCGAGTGATGGTTGGAAGTGGCAGGAGCGGGGAATGATGCGGGGGGAAGGGGACGGGGAGCTGCTCAGAACCCTACCCGATTCCCCGCACACTCTCCTTCTCTGTCTCGCGTGCACTTGATTTCGTGTTAAAGAGAGAGATAGCGGTGCAGAGTGATCGCTGCTGACGAGGTGACGTAGGGCTACCTGATCGACCACCCAAGGCCAACCCCAGCCCCCTTTAAAGCCTCTTGAACCCACTCCCATTAATGGAAAAGAAGTAGCACACGGGAGTTCATGAGGGGGATGTGGACAACATTGTCTGCTCGGTGGTTTTTTTTGGAGATCAGTGTCAAAAGCGGCTTATACAGCCCCAACAACCACACCATGGCGCATACTGGAGAAATCTATAGGAAGCTGCCAAATGTAATAACCGAAGCGCTGACGGGTTAGGAAAGGGCGATGCCCTCGACAGCGGCGTGTAGGGGCTGACAATAAAAGCTAAGACAAATTCCCATGCATGTCTGGGCCTTTCGATTATGTATGCAGCGCTGAGTTCCAATACACAAAGCCACGACTCATAAAGCCTTAAAGCAGTTTCCTTTGAAAGCAGAGTTATGACGATTTTTTTGTAAACTAATCGTGGACTTTCACTATTATGGGCACCTCCTTCCGAAGTGGGGAACCAGGTCTTTGTCGAAGTGCCAAATTTGAAGAATCGTGGGCTTAGGCATGCTAATGAATTACCCTGCCTACTAAATGTTTTAGGCAAGCAGATTATAAGACAGTCGAAGAAAGAGGAGAATAAATCCCGCAAAGGTATCCTCCAGATCGAGGATACCCTTGAAGGGTTCATAAACCTATGAATATCACCTCCCAGGCTGGTGGTATAGGAGGAAGACCGGGGAAAATCTTCGTGATGGGGATGAAGTCAAGCATGTTGCTAATCAGTTTGGCAGAAGACTACCTCCGTTTCGGCAACGTTTGACGGGTGCCTTTGTTTTAGCGTTGTCGTCAGACATTTTGGATTCAAAGAAGACCAAACACTGATTTCAATGGGGGCGCTGGGCTGGGCAGAACTTCGAACATCATTAAAGAATATTTATCTAAAATAGTGGAAATATAAAATAGTGGAGAAAGCAAGATATCGTTCGCTCATGGTTTACATACGGGCTGGTTGGCTGAGGGTTTTTCTAAGGCGTTCTGCCCAGAACCAGATGAAACATAACCACAATTGCCCCTTCTCTCTAATCTCCTCCTAATTTCCTCTGAGGCTGTTAAAGACCCTCCTGGTGATCGATCAATAACGGCGACTTACATCGCCCAACAGGAGTGATAACGACTGATTTCAACGTGACTTTGACTTTATCGGAGACCCTCTTAGGACGTTCGAAGGCAGGCAGTACAAGGGCCATCCAGAGCAGTCAGCACTGTCTATGAGAAAATAGAAAGGGGAACAGTACAGGAGCACCAAGTCCATCAGCAAAAAAATAACAAATTAGCGTTTAGTAGTTGCGATTGTGTGTTGAAGAGTTCGCGATGGAATTAGCAGTAGGAACCAGTTATGGGAGAGAAAGAAATGAAGTCAAGTGAGTCTGTCGCGCATTCTCAGGACCGGAATTTCGCATCAATGATAAGACATCAGAGCGCGGCGATGCCCCACGGTTGCCCCTATTTGGTGAGATTCGAAACGGCCCATAAATTCAAGAGAGAACGTTTAGTTAGGGCTCAATGCGGTCGGAAGATGGATGTTAGATAATAAAAGAGCAGGAATGAGTCACACGTCGAACGTCCGCTGTTCAACTGGGGCGGGATGACGAATCCTTTTCCCACGAGATTTGCCCCACAGAAAAAGACCCACCGCGCGCCGAATATTGGTCGATTGGTAACGAGCGCGCAAGGGCAAAATTGCAAACATTCGTAAGAAAGACACACGACGACGAACACTGTGGGAAACGAATCGATCAAGAGCAACCAGATCGCTGTAAAGAAGAATAACAATGCGAAGAAGAAGAACGGTGATGAGAGTGTGGCGCAGCGGGTCACTGTCGCACGCCGGCCGTAGTGGCTGGCTTGATCGAATTAAACAGAAACAAATGGTGGCATCGACGCCACTATACTATGTGGTCGAGCAGCAGCAGCAGCTGGAGCCACTGCAATCCGTGCGGCGATCGACGATCACAGATTGTCTGCCGGGAGTGGCGCACCTCTAGTGGCCGAGTTCCAGGACGATTGGAAGAGCGGGCGGCCGCGAGAAATTCGGGCCTATCAGCGACGGCCACGAGCTCGATGCACTCGTCGGGGAGCCGGGGCAGCCAGCGGTCAGCCTTCCGTGAGAATCGAATTCAAAGACGCAAGACGGGTTATCGATTTCAAAGTTTGAGGAAGGCAGGAGTGAGTGTAATGGACGGGAAGTGAAGCAATAATGATAAAGGGCGAAACGTGAACCACCCAGCTTCAACTTCAACCCCCAGCGGGTCAACAAAATGATCAGGTTCCTGAACTATCACCTGTTCAGCAGGGAGGACAATCGAGCAAGTGCATGGCTCAGTTCACTTTCGAGGGTAGTGAGTTCAGGGAAGATTGGCACAGCGTTTTGCTTGGGGAAAAGTCGCCCTTTACTCAAGCCGCTTATCGAATTTCGCTCCATATTCTTGAATTAGAATAGAGTTAAGCTTCGGGCAGCCTGAATTGAAAACTTTCAGCCATCCATCACTCGCGACTATCCCCTTGGGGAATAGTCGGCCGTTTTGAGCTCTTCAGGTCAGCTAAAAGGCAAGGGATGAGAGCAGAATTCGAAGGCTGTTGCTGTTTTCAACCTCGGGAAGTTCGGAATAGTTTCCGCTGTGCTCTGAGGACTGCGGATTAGGATTGGAGAGTTTAACAGCGAAAATCTTATCTCAAGACAATGAGATTCTAAGAGAGTGTCCTCATCTTCCCAAGGATTTCAGCGTCTATTCGAGGAACAGTTCGAGGTGTTCTTCCGTGATAGAGCATGGCTTGATGGAGAAAATCGGATTGCCGTCAAATCCTTCTCAGGACCCTTCACCCTATAAGCCCTAAGCCACACATCTAGTTATCATACAAGGTAAAAGCGCCTTAACAACTGAAGGATAAGCACCCAAACTTAACAACTGAAGGATAGGCACCCATACAGGACACCTTTTTGTTTGCGAACATTCGCATTGCGAAACGTGGCAAAAACAGCATCGGGAAAACGAAAACAAATTAAAACAAGGGCTGAACCATAAGCCGGCAGCTTAGCGCGACCGACTAACTACTGTCTTAGAGTGTGCTGTTTCTCGATTCTGTTCAATGTCGGACGATTCGGGAGTAAACCCTCTATGATCCTTGTAAAAAAAGTCCCACAGAGTGGATCTGCTTCAAGCACGCACTTCAAAGTCTCTTGGTTCTCCTCAATTCACCACGTAGATTCAATGAATCGAAACGCTACCAGTACATTTGCAACCCAGGCTGACTGAATTAGGAAGTACCGCTAATTGAATTAAGTCGTCTTTTATGGACTGGGAAGAGTAGTAGATGCATTTTCCACTCCAACCTACTCAGACTCGTTTGGAGCCTATCTCGTAGATGGGGGGCCCTGGAAGCGTGACGGATAAAGATGGCAAGCGCTTGAGCTACGGGCGTGTTCGGCTTATATTCAGCGCTTTGAGTGGTACTGCAGAATAGATGACAACAAAATGCTGAGTGGTGCTAGATGGTGCCACGACTCTTGAACGAATTGCTGCTCCCCCACAAGGCTTGCTTTGATAGACCCGACCATGCAAATGAATTTTGAGCGGGATGCATAGAAGTTGATTTGAATGAACGCCGTTTTTCGGCCTATTCTACAGTGACCGAAGCGACAAAGAGCTATCCCCAACCAGGGCAATTACTAATGACCCAATGGCGAAAATAACGACAAGCATAAACATCAACACATTTTATTTTCTGGTCATGATGGGCAAATAATAAGCACCCTGTCCCCTTTACTTGCCCTAATTGCTGGTTCTGGATTCTGAACGGCTTTGCTCCCCGACGAACCGCTACGTAGTTAGTGGCAAAACTGATAAAATGTCGGTTAGACTTGTCCCGAAGGTGCTAGGGTGATGTCATCGAAGGTGTCGTTTCTCGAGTTGAAGAGCGTAGGTCGATGCTCAAATGGGGTCTGCCCGAAAACTGATCGAATCCCAACGCAACGGAAATGAACCCGAAGGCCAGAAGATACTTAGTCGCTTGTCACACACGCACACAGATGCTTAGAGAGACCATGTTGTACCCGAGACCCGAGCCGATGCGTTGTAATGATCGGTTTCCAACGAAATGAGCACTAATCTTGAGAGGACCAGATAGAAAAGGAATTTGTGGCCAAAACTCATTAACGGAACATTTTCTTTCCCACATGAGGAAATAGCGAAAGAAAGATCCTTAGTTGCATGTGACTCATAGGCCGAAAAAAAATTAAAATCAAGAGGATCAGTAATTCATCGGAACGAGTCCTCCCAAAGTGTGGGCTAACATTTTTCATGGAACGGAAATTGCCTGACCAGTGACTTATCCCTATAGGATTGCCCACACATCAAATCAGCTTTCATTCCGTTTTATGCCTCCAATACAGGGCATTCCAATGCATTGCCGAATAATAGAGCATTATTCGAGCCAGTGTCCTCAGTGTGGACTCGATTGATGCCATTTAGCCAAATTGGAGTGGTGAAAGGTCGATAATGGATCCATCATTGAAAGATGCTCACCCCG